TCTTTAAAAATAACAAAAACACCTAGACGTTACGCTCTTAGAAGTAGACCTTACTAAATTTTGTAAAACATTTTGAAGAAATAAATGTATTCTAAAACTGAAATATTGTGCAAATTTTTGCCCGCAAAGTCCGCTCTTTCCGCCCGCGCGAAAAGATCCGTGTACAAATATGTTGTACTTTAATATATGCATGCACCCGCAAAGCCACGCGCGTGATTTTAAGGTATACACCGGCGTTAAAAATAATCCCTATCTATCCATCGGAATACACTTAGTTATGCAAATTCGTATACCTTAATCCCCTTAATTACCTACACGCCTCCTAATGACTTAGCAACGCATAACAACGCAGCAAAGTTTAAAACATGTTTCTTGATACAATAATAGAGAAAAAATATTACAATTAAGACTGTTAAATTGTTGTACAGGTTTTTTTCCTTCAAATATTCTATCTGACTCGGTCATCTTGACCGTATATATGTATGTAGGTTTGCTAAATAATGTTGAACAACATGCAAATAGCGATCATAACAACGGCCCTGACAACCCGGGATTAGCAACTGCTTATTCCTGTTGCGATATTTTTTATTTCTGTCTGGAAACTTATTGCTCAAAACGAGCCATCAAAATTAAAACGAATTCCAATTGCGTGCTGAAAATAAGAGATGGACTCACAACGTTGCTACATGGTTGTAAGGCAAAATTTTTTCTACCGTACCGCGGGTTCGAACCGGTGACCTAAGGAATACTGATTTGGTAATAACTACAGTCCTTTGCTCTACCAACTGAGCTAACGGTAGGTTTTAAAAACTAACTTCTATTTCATACTTTTATACATGCAAACTATGAGAAACCTCTTGTCGTTTTATTACAAATTTGTCAGAAACTAGTTGTGATGCTAATCGATCGCCTGTCACAGTTGGCCCAGGCTTGCCCGCGTTAATTGGTCGCGCTACCTGTCACAGTTGGCCCAAGTTGGCCCAGGCCTGCCCGCGTTAATTGGTCGCGCTACCTGGCGTTATAGATTTTGCAAGCTCATTATAAAATCCGCCAGATTGTTAGCCGAACAAAGTGACGTCATAGATTTTGGAAGCTCATTCTAAAATCCGCCAGATGGGGGTCTATTACTACTATTGTCCGTCCAATAATCGACCAAGAGTGTCCAATAACCTACAGCGATACCCTCATAACTTGGGCGATACATCTTATCCAAATATATCACAACCTATTACTAATCATTTTCCTTTTCCTGTGAATCCAAGCCATTTTCCCCCGTTTCAACCACGGGCAATAGGACAGGTGTAGTGTTGTTAAATATAAAGTTAGAAATGGTATTATACTTACTCATGCATTATAATTTGTTTAAAAGATCAGAATATTCATACCTTCTTATTTTGTTTCATAAATAGTTCTTTAATATTCGAAACAAATTCCATATCTGCTTCGTCTGCCATCGCCATGTTTACTCGTCCCAATCTACATGCTGCACGGCATTGCCGCCCCTCCTGGCAAAATGATAAGCAAGCGAGAAAAATTAAGGAGAAATAAGAGGGTAGGAACATCGTTGTCATAAGCTGGATGCAGTGACACTTCCATATATGGTACAAACGTATCCATAACTTCCATATATGGCACAAACGTATCCACGACGCGTTTTATATTATGGTTTTATAACGTTTTATTTGACGTAGGGATGACGTAATGCTGCTTCCCGCCTATGACGATTTGAATTAGTCATGTGATACAAGATTGCGAAAGCCGATTCGCCCAGAACGATGACACGCCCAGGAAACGCCCACAGTGTTCCTACCCTCTTATTTCTCCTTAATTTTTCTCGCTTGCTTATTATTTTACCAGGAGGGGCGGCAATGCCGTGCAGCATGTAGATTGGGACGAGTAAACATGGCGATGGCAGACGAAGCAGATATGGAATTTGTTTCGAATATTAAAGAACTATTTATGAAACAAAATAAGAAGGTATGAATATTCTGATCTTTTAAACAAATTATAATGCATGAGTAAGTATAATACCATTTCTAACTTTATATTTAACAACACTACACCTGTCCTATTGCCCGTGTTTCAACCCCCACAGTATCATCCAATGCTTCGATCATATGTATACCCACCACCTCTGTTGACATCAATATAACCCCTTTACGGCCCCCTGTCGTGTCCCCCTTAGCACCACCTACAATAACGTTTACTAGCATGCCTTTGAGTGTTCTAAATCGTCCTCGAAAAGTGAAAAGCAATATTTCAAATCAAAATCATTGTGTAAATAGAAATAATCTGATACACATTCAAACCCTCACGGCCCCCTGTCCAAACGATCAGATATCAGTTCCCTCTAGTCTCAACATTGTTCACTGAAACATTCGCTCGTTAAGAAATATCGTTCACCTTACTGAGGTCAAGGAACTAGTAAAGTTAAATAATATCGATGTCCTCACAATTTCCGAATCGTGGTTAAATTCCTCAGTAACGAACCGTGAGATTGCAATCGACGATTATAAGATCCACAGACTTGACCGGTTACACAAGAAAGGTGGAGGTGTCTGTGCTTATATCAAGAAGAATATTAAAGCAACTGTCTTAAAAGATTTATCGAAGGTGTCAGTCTCTAACTTTCATCAACTATGGATAAATCTACAATGCCAAAAAAACAAATCATATAACTTTGAATAAACAGATTTTAGTGCTCGGTGACTTAAATTGTAACATGCTAGAAAACGGCCAGGAGCGGAGAGCGGTAACAAATTTTTCTACAGAATTAAATCTCACACAGATTATTAAAACTCCAACTAGAATCACGGCGACGTCCCAAACGCTTATTGATGTTATTCTAGTCTCATCCACAGCACTTGTTCGTGAGAGTGGTGTTATTAACACTTCTATCAGTGACCACTTACCAGTGTACGTCCTACTAAAGTTAAAGGCCCCAAAGATGCCAGCATGTTAAATTACAACTAGGAGTTATAAAAACTATAATCCCTCACTATTTTCCTCTGACCTTGTCACTAAATCGGATTGTCTGTTATCCATATTATCCAACACCAACGTTAATACAATACTCGAAACCTTCAAAGATGTTCTTCACTCAACTCTCGACGTGCATGCACCGTTAAAAACCTTCAAAATTCGAAATCGATCATGTCGATATGTCACCAATGAAATAAAAGAACTCATGAAGTCTCGGGACCTACACCTCCATCGGTTTCAACTGACACGTGATGAAGGTGATTGGGTAGTTTACAAAGAATATCGTAATAACGTAAAAACCAAAATTAAAGCCGCAGCGAAGGACCACACCTTCAATGAAGTAAGAGAACATAAATACAATTCGAGATCCCTATGGAAAATAATTAATAACATAATTCCCTTGAAGGAAAAGGAAACACAAGTTTATAGTAAAGATCCAAAAACAGTTGCAGACGATTTCAACCTTTTTTTTAGTTCTGTGGGACGGAACGCTGCTGCGACAGCCGAAAGTTTAGCCAAAGACAACAATGTTGCACTGTCAAAACCTCTGTCAAATGTCATCACTTATCCATCTGATCAACTGTTCAATTTCCAATCCGTTACTTGTACAGAGGTTCAACGCATTATCATGGCTATGCCAAGTAATAAGTCACCAGGACCAGATAAAATAGGCATGCGTGTCATCAAAGACTGTCTTCCAATCATACTGGGTCCTCTTACGCATATGATAAATTGCTCTCTAATGACAAGCACATTCCCTGACCTATGGAAGATTTCTGAAGTTATACCCCTACTAAACGAAGGAGACCACGAGATAGCCTCAAACAATCGGCCTCTCTCACTACTCGAGGTAGTTTCAAAAGTTTGTGAAAAAGTTGTTCTAAATCAATTTAGCTCCTACCTCAAAGAATTTAATCGCATATCGTCACATCAAAGCGGGAATAGGAGTCTTCACCCCACCGAAACCTTAAACATATTTGTTACCGATACGATGTTGGAAGCCATAGACAACAAAAATCTAACGGCACTAATTTTATTGGATTTATCCAAGGCATTTGACAGTGTCAGTCATTCGATTTTATTACACAAATTGAGTTGTATCGGTGCTTCACCCGAAGCTGTTAAATGGTTCCAAGACTATTTAACAGGCAGATCCCAATACGTGCGCATTGGATCCACCAAGTCATCAGCTCGCCCAATAACCCATGGCGTTCCACAAGGTGCAATACTATCACCACTTCTGTTTTGCATCTATATTAATGATCTGCCAGGGAGCATACAATCGTGTAACCTTGATTCATACGTAGACGACTCAAAGCTTTACAAATCATTCTGCATCTACGACTTGGAACAGACAACTATCAATTTAGAGGCAGATCTACAAATAGCAGCCAAGTGGTGTTTGGAGCACCAATTACTGATCAATCCAGAAAAAACTAAATTCCTTGTAGTCGGTTCAAGACCCATGCTGCAGAACGTACCTACAGAAATATCGCTAACATTTTTAGGAAAGACTATAAGACCTGTTTTATTAGCTAAAGATTTGGGAATCAATTTGGATTCGTACCTATCCTACGACGACCACATATCTAAACTCGTTTCGTCGTGTATGAGAAAACTATGTCAAATAAATCGCGTGAAGGATAGTTTCGATAATGAAACATTAAAATTGGTCATTGAGACACTTGTAATTAACAAGCTTCTGTACTGCTCTACGGTGTGGTCCAACACGTCATCTAACAATATCAATAAACTTCAATCAGTGCAGAACTTCGCGTGCAGAGTTTTTCAGGGGTAGGAAAATTCGATCACATAACTCCGGCGTTGCCCGAACTAAATTGGTTGCCAGTGGAAAAGTTATTAATAGAAAGGGATACTGTAATGGCTTACAAGTGTTTTAATGGACTTGCACCTGACTACCTAGTAGATAAATTTATAAAGCGTTCCGACATACATGATCGATCGACAAGAAATCATGACCTCTTGGACATCCCTCTGTATAAATCTGCTGCAGGTCAAAGAACATTTAATTACCGGGGTGTTAAAATATGGAATGACTTGGATGATAAACTAAAAAATATTACATCAATAACAATTTTTAAGAAAAAACTTAGAGAGATTTTACTAAAAGAATCCTATTAAATACATTTAATATTTCATACTCTTTGTACACATTTTAACTAATTTTAAATAAGTATATGTAACATAGGTAGTTTTAGAAGTAATTTATAGTAATTTTAATATGTAATGTAGTGTTGAAAAGCCCTTAGGGGAACACGCAATAAAGTATCTATCTATCTATCTTTGTCGATCTATTTTCATCCTTGGGTACGGAGGTGACAGCAAGCGAGGAGTTGGTTCGGGGTTTAGAATGGTTCGTCTGTTCTATATACGAGCATCCACGTATCCTCTCAGTCAATGAGGCAAGGAAGAAAGTATTTTGGAACAAGTTCAACAAGAAAAAGATCATTGACCTTTGTCTAATGCCACTATGCCAGTCAAATCTTCATCATCACATCATGAGAGCTAACTATGTCGCGTACATCTTTTGACACGCCGATCAGCTGCTAGTAGAACTCGAGAGCCCCGACAAGCATGGATGGGACGGAGATGGAAGCGTTGTCTGGAGTGACATTTCCTATCCCGGAGAGATTGATGCGCTACTCGCAGGCACGGGGAGAGTTAGAACAGTTTGTCTTCCGATGATGACTACGAGGATGATTTGGATGTGGAAATTGAAGACACGAGTGAATTTTGAAAAGGAAAGTGCAAGGTTTGTGATCAGAATGTACATGTTTTTTAATGCAATGCATAACATGACCTCAATTTAATGGGGCAACAGTATTGCTTTTTATCAAAAAGAGCAGAAATCACTAGCTTTCTTGCTTGTTTAAGTAGGATCTTCCCAATCGTTCCACTAAATGAAGGATATGTGTATCAAACGGAGGCTAGAGGTTCCAATACAGTCTGCGCATATAACTTCGATTTTTGAAATTAGCGCACCGAAATTGAGCAAAATCACCAACTTCCTTGGCTATCTAAGGCACATATGTAGGCACCAAAACTAAGCTGTACGCACCAAAACGAGGCTGAAGGCCTCTGTATTTCGCTGTGTAACGTCGATTTTTGAAATCAGCGCACCGAAATTGACCAAGATCACCAACGACTTTGCCTATCTAAGCTAACTAATGATTTCCATCTATTTGCACCAAAACGAGGCTGCATGCACCAAACCGAGGCAGATGGCCTTGGTATTCGCTCGCGTCACATCGATTTTTGAAATCAGCGCACCGAAATTGACCAAAATTACTAGTTTCCCTAGCTAACTAAGACAACTAACGTGTTCCCTATGTATGCCCCAAAACGAGGCTATATGCATCAAAACGAGGCTGAAGGCCCCGGTATTGGCCCGTATAACATCGATTTTTGAAGTCAGCGCCCCAAAATTGACCAAAGTCACATATTTTCATAAATTCCCTGCTCGGGTTACGATAACCCCCTTTCTCCTCCTGGACTAATATAATACCTTATTGAATTCTGATCGTTTAATTGGCTGTTTATGATCACGTGATATTGAATGGAAAATTCCATTTCCCAAGAGTGCAATGGAATACGTTCCATTGCACTCTTGCGAGTGCAATTGTATTATACGTTTTATTCCATTGCACTCATTGTGTTTTCGATAAATCGCATCCGTCAAAATGCTTCTCGTACAGTGATCGCTGTTTATTTTAACCCGATATTCGAAACTCAATCAATAAATGGGAATGGGATTTAATGCAAATACGACTCGTCAAAATGGCGGGAGCTTACAGTAAACCTTTTAATATTTGTCTATTTTTGGTATTATATAAAACAAATAATGAATGTTTTTATTCGTGAATGGTAAGAATATTTTCATTCGGTGAAAGATGGAATGTTCCATTCAACTCGGCTGTCGCCTTGTTGAATGGAACATTCCATCTTTCAGCTCATGAAAATATTCTTACCATTGCACTCATAAACATTCATTATTTGTATAATAAAAAAGTTGTGATATAATCCGGAATTATCAAGTTTTGTTATGACGCGTTATTCGACCTCACGATCTGCTCGATATCATAAAACATCTCATCCGATAACTTTTATTAACTGTAGACGAAGATATAGTAGAATTGTATACAGAATTATAGAAATTACAGATATATAATCAGCAAGCTAACAAAAATGGTCGAAATATTAAGAGTATTTACTGTTGCGTCTTGCCACTGTGTTGAAATTATCATTGTAAGCAAATTCTGAAAGCAGCGAACGTCTGTTGCTTAATACACAAGTCAGTTACAGAGACTAAACGTAGTAATTACATACTTACCAACGGCAACGTTTTAATGATATTAAATCAATCCAGTTAGTCCAAAAGGTCCAAGATTTCGGTATCAAAAATATAGACAGATTCCCGAACATTGGTTAAATTTAAATTCACAAAAAAATAATAATTAAATTTATGCAAGAATGTTAATAATGATTTCCCTAAACAATTGCCTACCGCGGGTAGCATGCACACATTGCCTACGTAAACACAAAAGCGGTTTCCTTTTGCAAATATAGCTATACTTTAGATAATGTAACGACATTTCACGAATATAAAGTTGTGTATTAAAATATTAAAATGCTTTCGTTGGTAGGGATGCAACTACCTGAAAAATATAAGGAGAATTTCGACGTTTCGAACTAAGGCCCTTCGTCTGGGGTTACTTTGGCTGTACACAAAGATATCAATCAGTAGAATGGTATACAGAGAGTACAAAATTAACGTTATAATGACGATTAATATGAACAATCGCCATGGTTGGCTATGTGAATACTGACCAAACCGTGATCTGACATGCACTGACCAATTTAGATACACGTAACGCCAACACAATCAGCCAAATTATGCAGGAATCTTATACTCGGTAATAATGATTTCGCTAAAGAATTTTCTACAAACAGCGGGTAGCATGCACAAATTTGCAAATACTGGTAAAAAGTTTAAAAATGTAAAATGTATAAAAGAATATTGAATGCATGTCAAATGCTTTAACTTGTTAAAACAAGTTTCCACATGACAAGTTAAAGGCGATGTAAAGCGCGTAATGTAAACAAATGCTTTGTTTACATTTTGAAGTCAGTGCTACAGTTGTAAAATATCATAATTAGATATATATTATACTGAACTTTTAACACTCTTCTGGTTCGCTACGTTTGTGAATTAATACAGACTAGAAGAAGGTGCGAAATATCAACAGCATTCCAATGGTCGGATCTCGACCATTAGATTGTAGGCCTGCGCAGAACCTATACTGTTAATTGTTTAGTAAAAATTTGACATCGATCGGTAAGTGCAATTTCTTACGCTGAATCGAACGGTGGTATTTTTGCTGCGGAGCGAGCGAGCCTGAAGCGAGCCGCAGCCTAATATGTGCAGAGAGGGGGTTTTGAACTAAAGTTTATTTAGCGCATGGAATTGTGGTCGTGCGCGCTTTCTATGCGCAGAACACAAACTTTCAACTCGCTCGAGTCTTAATTCTTATCGAATTTCTAAAGCTTTTTCAAGTCTAATGTTACGCTTACATTTGTTTTGGACTTTGGCCACTGTCAGTTCTATATTTTTATAAAGTTTTGGTTTCTTAATGTGATAAATCTGTGTATATAGTTTATATCTGTGTATCTGTGTTTCTGTGTTTCCAATTTATATAATCTGTATATATAGTTTATATAATCTGTGTATCTGTGTTTCCAATTTGGCTTTCGAAAGTTTCACTCCACCGCTACGTCCCTTTTAGATTCAACAAATAGTTGGTATGTTAACATGGATCGAAAAATGTTTAACTTAATAGTTTTTATAGATCTAAAAAAAGCATTTGACACCGTAGATCACGAAATTCTACTTGAGAAAATGCAAATTTACGGTATTAAGGATAAGGCACATTTGTTGCTGAGATCATATCTTACTGATCGCACCCAAAAATGCCAAGTAAATGGTGTTGTCTCGTCTGAACACAAAGTTAAGTGTGGTGTTCCTCAAGGCTCCATTTTAGGTCCTTTATTTTTCCTAATATACATAAATGATTTATCTGAAAGCCTAAATAGGACAAAGCCAAGACTTTTTGCAGATGACACAAACCTCACTGCTTCCGGTGGTACAATTGATGATGTTGAAAATGCAGTGAACTCTGATTTGGAAAACCTCAGAATGTGGTTAAACGCGAACAAACTGAGTCTAAACATTGCCAAAACTGAATTTATGCTCATAGGATCAAGATCTCTAGTGCATACTGTTTCAGATTCAAATTTAAACATAATGATTGAAAACAGACCAATTAAACAAGTGAAGGAATGCAAGACACTAGGAGTAATAGTTGATCAGCATCTCTCTTGGAAAAGTAACACTGAGGGTATCTGTAAGAAAATCACATCGGCCATTTCTGTTATTAGAAAACTAAAAGAATTTGTTGACCGTGATACACTTGTTTCTATATTTAACGCAATTGTACAACCATACTTTACTTATTGTTGTGAAGTGTGGGACATTTTTGGTGAAACTCAATCACAACGATTACAAAAGCTTCAAAATAGATGCGCTCGAATTATTATGGACATGGGTAACGAAGTTAATGCCCAAATCGCATTAAATTCGTTAGGATTGGAGACACTAAAAGTACAAAGAACTAAAGCTAAGGCAAAATTAATGTTCAAAATTTTGAATATGTCTGGGCCTAAAAGCCTAACAGACCTTTTTACCTACAAG